ACTGCACTGGCTGTTCCATAATTCTACAAAAGAGGGAAAAGGGGCAGCAATCTGGTTAAAACCGTGAAGGGGGAATTCTTAGGGGATCTGTCTCAAAGCTGCATTTGCATAGCAAACACACTGTCTTTACTTAGATTAAGTATAGATCAATAAAAATGTCAATGTTTTCTAAAATGCTTTTATTCATACTTTATATAAGATTAAAAAAAAACATCATCTATCCATAAAAATATAATTTGGAGTACCCTGAGGAAAGTGGGAAGTGTTTCAAACAGGATGGAGAGACTGACAAGGACTAGAGAGTTTTTTTGAATCTTGGTGATAAGGGTCTATTTGCATTTTTTAAGTAGGGGCATGCTGTGGTCCAATTTAAATGATTGGATGAAGTGAGACTAAAGACTAAAAGGTCAGTGAAATAATAATTATTATTAATATTATGACATTTATTGAGCATTTAATATGTGACAAATACGTTGTCCCTCAGTATCTGGGAAGGGTTGGTTCCAGGACCTGCATGGATACCAAAATCCAAAGATGCTCGAGTCTGATATAAAATGGCATAGTATTTGCATATAACCTATGCAAATATTCTTACATACTTTAAATCATCTCTAATAACTTATAATACCCAATTCAGCCGGGTGCAGTGGCTCACGCCTGTAATCCCAGCACTTTGGGAGGCCGAGGCAGGCAGATCAGCTGAGGTCGGAAGTTCCAGACCAGCCTGACCAACATGGAGATACCCGTCTCTATTAAAAAATACAAAATTTGCCAGACATGGTAGCGCATGCCTGTAATCCCAGCTACTCGGGAGGCTGAGGCAGCAAAACTGCTTGAATCTGAGAGGCGGAAGTTGTGGTGAGCCGAGATCATGCCATTGTACTCCACCCTGGGCAACAAAAGCAAAACTCCATCTCAAAAATATATATATATATATACCCAATACAATGTAAATGCTATTGTAAATACTGTATATTGTTTTATTGTATTTTTTGTATTGCTTTGGGGTGTTGTTTCCCAAATATTTTATTTATTTTTAAAAATAGAGATGGAGTCTCACTCTGTTGCTAAGGCTAGTCTTGAGCTCCTGGGCTCAAGTGATCCTCCTGCTTTGGCCTCCCAAAGTGCTGGGATTATAGGCGTGAAACACTACTCTACTAAAAATTAAAAAATTTAAAAAAAAATTAGCCAGGCATGGTGGCTTGAGCCTGTAATCCCAGCTACTCCAGAGGCTGAGGCAGAATTGCTTAAACCCAGGAGTCAGGGGTTGCAGTGAGCTGAGATCAGACCACTGCACTCCAGTGTGGGCAACAGAGCAAGACTCCGTCTCTAAATAAATAAATAAAATAAAGATGAGAAAACAAAGACACAGAGTTAAGACACTTACTCAAAAATTATAAAACTAGGCTGGGCGCAGTGGCTCACACCTGCAATCCTAGCACTTTGAGAGGCCGAGGTGGGCAGATTGCCTGAGCTCAGGAGTTCGAGACCAGCCTGGGCAACATGATGAAACCCCATCTCTACTAAAACACAAAAAATTAGCCGAGCATGGTGACATGTGCCTGTAGTTCCAGCTACTCGGGAGGCTGAGGCAGGAGAATTGCTTGAACCTGGGAGGTGGAGGTTGCAGTGAGCTGAGATCACACCACTGCACTCCAGCCTGGGAAACAGAGCGAGACTCTTTCTACCCCCCTGCCAATAAAACTATAAAACTAGTAAGTGACAGAGCTAAGATTCAAACCCAGATAGAGTCCAGCTTCAAAACTAGGGCTCTTCATCACGAAATGAATTTTTTATTCATTAATTCTTCATATTTCATGAATATGAAAATGCTATAATGCTTCCCTTTTTTCTAAGATTACTGCAATGCCACAGGCTTGAAATTGCAAAGGTTTGAACTAATACAATGGCAAACATGATGGAGAAAGGTAAGGAAATATTTGAAAGAGACCCAGGAAAGTAAAATTGACAATGTGGGCAAACAGCTGCAGAGCATAAGGGAGAGGGGAATCTAAAACGACTCTCAGACTTCAGTTCATGGGTCAATCATAGAAATGGGAAATTGAAGGGCCAGGTGCGGTGGCTCACGCCTGTAATCCCAGCATTTTGGGAGGCCGAGGTGGGTGGATCACGAGGTCAAGAGATCAAGACCATCTTGGTCAACATGGTGAAACCCTGTCTCTACTAAAAATACAAAAAAAATTAGCTGGACATGGTGGCGCGTGCCTGTAATCCCAGCTACTCAGGAGAATTACTCCTGAGGCAGGAGAATTGCCTGAACCCAGGAGGCGGAGGTTGCGGTGAGCCGAGATCACGCCACTGCGCTCCAGCCTGGGTAACAAGAGCGAAACTCTGTCTCAAATAAAAAATAAAAAATAAAAAAAGAAATAGGAAATTGAGGAAAGGAACTCTTGTAGAAAAGATAGAAATTACTGGTCATTTTATGTTTGACGTGTGTGTGGGACAAAACGAAGAGCCAGGAGGCAATCAGAGATACTAGTCTGGAGCTCAAGAAAGATTAGGGCTAGAGGCCGGGCGTGGTGGCTCAAGCCTGTAATCCCAGCACTTTGGGAGGCCGAGGCGGGTGGATCACAAGGTCAAGAGATCGAGACCATCCTGGTCAACATGGTGAAACCCCGTCTCTACTAAAAATACAAAAAATTAGCTGGGCATGGTGGTGTGTGCCTGTAACCCCAGCTACTCAGGAGGCTGAGGCAGGAGAATTGCCTGAACCCAGGAGGCGGAGGTTGCAGTGAGCCGAGATCGCGCCATTGCACTCCAGCCTGGGTAACAAGAGCGAAACTCCATCTCAAAAAAAAAAAAAAAAGATTAGGGCTAGAGATGTAAATTTTGTTCTCATGCAGGTGTTAAAGGCAATTTCACTTAGGAAGAGTATCTGTAAGAAACAAAGAGGGATTAAAGCAGAATTCTCGGAAACATCATCATTTAGGGAGTAAGTATATTAAAACTATCCGGCAGAGAAGACTGAGGAAGATGGTCACAGGGCTAAGAAAGCAGGGGAAAGTGGTGGCCTGAAATCTCAGGATGGAGTTTCAACAATGACAACATTGCCTTTAATCCCACTAGAAAGTAAGGTCTAGAAAGGCATGGGACATATTTGCTTTGTTCACCAATGCATCCCCAATTCCTAGAGGCCTGGCACATATTAGATGGCTAAAAACATTTCCTAAATAAGAAAACAAATCGGGCCGGGCGCGGTGGCTTAAGCTTGTAATCCCAGCACTTTGGGAGGCCGAGGCGGGTGGATCACGAGGTCGAGAGATCGAGACCATCCTGGTCAACATGGTGAAACCCCGTCTCTACTAAAAATACAAAAAAATTAGCTGGGCATGGTGGCACGTGCCTGTAATCCCAGCTACCTCAGGAGGCTGAGGCAGGAGAATTGCCTGAACCCGGGAGGCGGAGGTTGCAGTGAGCCGAGATCGCGCCATTGCACTCCAGCCTGGGTAACAAGAGTGAAACTCCGTCTCAAAAAAAAAAAAGAAAACAAATCAGCTGGGCTCGGTGGCTCATGCCTGTAATCCCAACACTTTGGGAGGCCAAGGCAGGTTTATCAACTGAGGTCAGGAGTTCCAGACCAGCCTGGCCAACATGGCAGAATCCCATTTTTAGTCTCTACTAAAAATAAAAAATTAGCTGGGTGTGGTGGTGGGCATCTGTAATCCCAACTACTCCGGAGGCTGAGGCAGGAGAATCGCTTGAACCCGGGAGGCAGAGGTTGCAGTGAGTGGAGATCGTGGCACTGCACTGCAGCATGGGCAACAACATTGAAATTCCATCTCACAAAGAAAAGAAAAGAAAAGAGAAAACAAATCAACAACATTAAATGCCACACAAAGTTCTGGGAAGCCAAAGACTGAGAAGTATCCATTTTATTTAGCCACTTTGGGTGTCCCTGATCTTGTCCGGAGCAATTTCTGTGGAATAATAGGGGAAAGGCAAAATGGGATGGCTTAAAAGAATGAAAAGAATGTTCTTGTCTATTATTTGTCTACAAACTCTAATTTTAAAAAAGATTATGAGGCCGGATGCCGTGGTTCACGCCTGTAATTCCAACACTTTGGGAGGCCAAGGTGGGCAGATCACCTTAGGTCAGGAGTTCAAGACCAGCCTGGCCAAGGTGGCAAAACCCCTTCTCTACTAAAAATACAAATATTAGCCGGATATGGCGGGCGCCTGTAATTCTAGCTACTCAGGAGGCTGAGGCAGGTGAATCGCTTGAACTCTGGAGTAGCAGTGGGGGGCGGGGGGAGGCGGTGAGCCGAGATCACGCCATTGCACTCCAGCCTGAGCGACACAGCGAGACTCTGCCTCAAAAATAAATTTAAAAAATCATTAAAAGTTGATGGGAGAAAAAAAAAGTTGCTTAAAAGAAAACTTAAGTTGATGGGCGGTTAGGAAGCGTAGCTACCGACGGCCCATTCTTGGATAAAATCTTTCGAGTCTGGAATGAAGAACAGAGTTGCAATTACAAGAGATCAAAAGAGATTTTTCTTTAAATGGAAGGACACTTGTTTTGTTCACTATCGGATCGCCGGGTCCCAGCACAATCTGGCCCCTTAATGCGCATTCAATAAACCCCCGAGCTGACTGGTGGCAGGCTTGCAGGACGCCGTCGCACAAGGACGGGCGCTGGAGTCTTTCCTTCTGGATTAGGTAGGGACAAATGAAGGCGCGGTTTCAGCCCCTGACAGCGCAGTACCCTCGCCCTAAACTCACCCACCTTGGGCTGCGTGGAAACCAGGGGCGTGAAGCACCGAGAGCGGCGCACCAGGGAAATACGGGGTAGGTGGAGAAAGGAAAACCCCACCCGCTGGCAGCCGTTTCATCTCCAGCCTCCCAGTTTTCCGCAGGCCCCTCCCTACACGGCTCCCTCTTCTACACGCCTAGCTCTTCTACACGCCTCGCACGGAACGGATGTGACGTCTCCGTCGCGAGCAATTGACGGAAGCAGAAATTGCTTTGCGGCCGGCACGGAAATTACTTTCCTTCGGCTTCCGTTCTTGGTCCATGTGAGAGAAGCGGGTTGCTGAGATGACTGCGAACCGGCTTACGGAGAGGTGAGGGGCAGACGGGAAGGGGGATTCTGGTACTCGTTGGGGGCCGGGTTCCCCAGCTTTTGGGAAATGGGAGCCCCCTTTTAACAGATGGCAATGGTTCCCCTTAAGAACTGGCCACTCGTTCCTATTTTCCGCGATCCAGCCTTTAAAGCCCTTTTAATTTAATTTCATTCGCTTACTGCGCTCCTCACCGGTATAACCGCATCCCTGTTGGTCCTGATGCTGCTTCTGCCTCCCCAGCTCATTTACTGCTTCACTTTCTTCATCACGTGACCCTTTTTCTGCCTTTGCCGCGGCCCGATTTAATCCTCTGCTCAGGCAGTGCAGGAGTTATAAACTCCTCAAATCTTGGAAACCTTTGCTAGTTGGAGTCATCCACCACGTTGTCGCTCCTGTGATGTTTCGTGTCCCCACCCCTGGAACTAATTGTAGTCCCTTTACTAATGTTGGCTTTGCAAATACTAATAATATATGCTGTTAGCTAACAGTAAGTTTTATTTGTTTGTGGGTACAAATCTCCTTAGTTAAGCACCTACTTTGCTAAGCACGCCCCAGGGAAAATGGCTTACTCAGCTGCTTTTGACCTGTTTCTCCATTCCTGGAAACAAGTGATCAAGATGACACTTTTGATTAGGCTGCCTATCAAGGAGTCAAACATGTGGAGGATGCTTAGAAATATTAATCGTGAGTCCGGGCACGGTGGTTCACGCCTGAAATCCTTGCACTTTGGGAGGCCGAGGCGGGAGGATTGCCTGAGCTCAGGAGTTCGATACCAGCCTGGGCAACACGGTGAAACCCTGTCTCGGCCAAAATACAAGAAATTAGCTGGGCAAAGCGGCCTGCGCCTGTAATCTCAGCTACTCGGGAGGCTGAGACAGGAGAATCGCTTGAACCTCGGAAGCACAGGTTGCAGTGAGCCATGATCATGCCACTGCACTCCAGCCTGGTTGACAGAGAGAGACTCCATCTCAAAACATATATATATATATATATATATATATATATATATATATATATATATATATTTCATGAAACTGCCTTGCCTCCAGGGCCAGCAGCAGCATCTTTGGCCATATTATTCCAGGGTTTGACATTTTTATAGCTTCCTGTAGGTCATAGGAAATGTCGTACCAATCACTGAAAAGTATTAGTTTTTTTGCCTGCACTCTTGGAGGTGATGCCTGACTTCAGTCTAAATTTCATGTCATGACAAAGTTTCCAGAGGCGTTCACACTGCTTTCTATATCTTCCAAGGAATAGGGCTATTCTGTGCTGAAGTTACAGTGTTTCTGAGATTGTTTTAATAGATTAGACATTATTTCAAATGATAATATTTCTTTAACTTCAACTTTTATTATAATTAAGGGATACATATGCAGGTTTGTTAGATGGGTATATGCATGAACATTTCTTTGTTGCCTCTTTTAACAGCCTTCTGGCTTTGAGCCAACAGGAAGAACTAGTGGATTTGCCAAAAGACTACCTCTTGAGTGAGAGTGAAGATGAGGTGGGTGACAATTGCTAAACTGCTTTCAAAATTAGGGTGGAGAGCACATTCCTGGAAAGGAAAGGTGTGGCAATGTAAGATACTGTATAATATTAAGTGCTAAATTAGCCAGGCGTGGTGATGGTGGCATACGTCTATAATCCCAGCTACTATTGAGCCCAGGAGGTGGAGGTTGCAGTGAGCCAAGATCGTGCCACTGCACTCCAGCCTGGGTAACAGAGCAAGACTCCATCTCAAAACACACACACACACACACACACACACACACACACACAGGGTCCTCATGATATGTTTCCCCATTTCCCAAGTTTGCAATTCTGTAGAGAGTTATTTAATTATCTGACTGAAATATGCATATGTATTTTAAGCTGGATCTCCAACAGATGCTATAGGAATTCCAATTCTTTATTCTCCTGACAAAAAAAACCCAGGTTTTTTTCCCTGGGGTGGGGGACACACAATATATCTCTTAAAAACAAGGAGGGTTTTTTTTTCTTTTTTTCTGGTTGTTGTGTTCTTCCTAGGAAAAGGCAACTTAACTTGGAGGCCAGGTGCAGTGGCTCACGCCTGTAATCCCAGCACTTTGAGAGGCCAAGGTGGGCAGATCACTGGAGGTCAGGAGTTCAAGACCAGCCTGGCCAACATGGTGAAACCTCATCTTTACTGAAAATACAAAAATTAGCCAGGCATGGTGGTTTGCACCTGTAATCCTAGCTATTCCAGTGGCTGAGGCAAGACAATCACTTGAACCCAGGAGGTGGAGGTTGCAGTGAGCTGAGATCGCATCACTGTACTCCCTCCTAGGCAAGACAGAGTGAGATTCTGTCTCAAAGAAAAAAAGCCAACTTAGTAACTGGCTATGACTTACACTGTATGTCAGGGTTTCTGTGTTAGATGATACTATATATTTTATACAGAAACACCATTCTAAGCCCTTTTTGTCCCAAAGCAAGTTAGGACAGACGCATGACATTACCTCCTTTTTAGTTTGAGCTGGAATGCTTGCACACCAGACCTCTTCCAGTTCGCCAGTTCTCCACTGACCAAAAGTACAGGAGATTTTATGTGGGCCTCGGTTTCCATGTTGTCTTTTCCCTCCCACTCATCCTGATAGTTTTTCTTTTTCTATGTCTTAGGGGGACGGTGATGGAGAGAGAAAGCATCAGAAGCTTCTGGAAGCAATCAGTTCCCTTGATGGAAAGAATAGGTAACATGCCCATCAGTTAGGGCAGGTTATAACTAGCTGATTCCATGTGATTTCCTTGCAGCTAATATTTATTGAGTGCTTCACGTAAAGATCTTAATACTGGTGCCTAGCATATAGTAAGCATTATATAATTGACTGTTAGCTATTAGTCTTAGTGCTATTATTGTAAGCATTCGAAGTCTTATTCCACATGAAAATCTTTTAAAGCATTGAGTAAACATTACTTAACCCCATTAGAGAAGTAAATTGACTTACCCCCAAGATCACCTGGCTCATAAGTTGCAGTTCAGGTGTGTTTGAATCTAAGTTCAGTATGTTTTACACTATGCTTACCTTGTAATAGAAGAGATGAGGGTTAGACAACCAAGTCCAAGTTAGGAACAGATTTCCTTGCTGCATCATGACAAAACCTGACCCTAGAAGAAATACAAGAAACCAAAGCGTTGTTTGAAGACAGAAGTGTTTGTCTCTCTCACCCCCAACCCCTGTAAAATGTATCCATTCCTATTATATTGTTTGGCCTAATTTCAGGCGGAAATTGGCTGAGAGGTCGGAGGCTAGTCTGAAGGTATCAGAGTTCAATGTCAGTTCTGAAGGTAAGTTGAACAAAGGAAGATACCCATGCATGAAGCATGTGGGGTTTCAAAGGCAAAGTGTTCACCTCACCCCCCAGGAACTGTTTTTGATGTGGTTAATGATGCACACCATAAATATCTGGGACAGTGGGTGAGGAAGGGTAGTCAGATGCCCTTCAATTTCTTTCCGTCTCTCAAAGCCTAGAAGGCTGTGGTCAAGGTCTCCTACAGAGTTTGATGAGATACTTCTAGGATAGAGGGACATGAATGAAGACAGCTGCCTCTTACTAACTTAGTCATAATTCATAGCTGTACAATTTCATTTTTATTTCAGTTCTCTTACAATGCTTCTAGTTAGGAGACAGCCAAATATTCTCTTCAGCCAGAGCTCAGAGAGGTCACGTCACTTATTCAAGGGCCTTCACCTAGTACAGTGTCAGTAGCAATATCAGGAACTGTTGTAGTACCAAGGCTACAGCAGCAAATAAGATGTGAGCTCATGGGGCTTACATTCTAATGAAGGGAGACAATAAGAGGATGATGCAGTAACATGACTAAGTGGCTACTTTAGACGGGTTGGTCATGAAAGGCCCCGGAAGAGGCAAAATTGAAGCTGAGATATGAACGACAAGTAAAGTCAGCCATGCAAAGATGGGAGAAAGCATTTCAGGCCAGGGAACAGCTAGTGCAAAGGCTCTAAGGTAGAAACATGCACAGTATGTTGAAGAGTACGAAAGCGGCCCCTGTGTCAAAAGGTGGAGGGTAGAGGGTGACATGAGGTTAGAGAGGCAGATGGGGACTAGATCTCATAGGGCTGTGTCCTATAGGTAGATGAGATTCAAAATATAATGGGGAGTCATTGGAGGATTTTCAGCAGGGTCATGACATGCTGTGGATTATATTTTCTTCTTCTTCTTTCTTTTTTTTTTTGAGATGGAGTCTTGCTCTTTTCACCCAGACTGGAGCACAGTGGCACGATCTCGGCTCACAGCAGCCTCCACCTTCCAGGTTCAAGTGATTCTCCTGCCTCAGCCTCCCAAGTAGCTGGGATTACAGGCGCCTGCCACCATGCCTGGCTAATTTTTGTATTTTTCATAGATACGGGGTTTCACCATGTTGGCCAGGCTGGTCTCAAACTCCTGACCTCATGATCCACTCGCCTCAGCCTCCCAAAGTGCTGGGATTACAGGTGTGAGCCACTGCGCCTGGCCTGGTTTATAGTTTAAAAGATCATTTTGGGCTGGACGCAGTGGCTCATGCCTATAATCCCCACTTTGGGAAGCCAAGGTGGGCAGATTGCTTTAGCCCAGGAGTTTGGGACTGGCCTGGGCAACATGGCAAAACCCCATCTCTACAAAAAATTAGCCAGGCGTGGTGACACGCGCCTATAGTGCCAGCTACTTGGCAAGGTGAAGTGAGAGAATTGCCTGAGTCTGGGAAGCAGAGATGGCATCACTGCTCTCCAGCCTAAGTGAGAGAATGAGACCCTGTCTCAAAAAAAAAAAAAAAAAAAAAAAAGATCACTTTTTCTGTTTTTATTTTTGGCTGTTATGTGAAGAATGAATTGCAAGAGTGGAAGCCCCAGGAGAAAAGCAACTGAGTTCTGAATAAATATTTTTCTGCTCTCTTCCATCCCCTAATACGTTTGGGGTGAAGGCAGAAGAGTGATAGTGTTGGCATGGGTAGAAACAGGGAATTGAAGTAAGAGGATACTTCCTGCTTCTGCATATTTGCCATCTACTAGCATTTTCTACTGAGGCTTTTCCCTACACTTTACTGAGATCTTGCCTCACTTCTTGATCTGACCAGAAAGTTTGACCTTTCTACAGGATCAGGAGAAAAGCTGGTCCTTGCAGATCTGCTTGAGCCTGTTAAAACTTCATCTTCTTTGGCTTCTGTGAAAAAGCAACTGAATAGAGTCAAATCAAAGAAGACCGTGGAGTTACCTCTTAACAAAGAAGAGATTGAACGGGTAAGCTACAGAGAAGGTGGTCTATTAAGGGAAAGAAATTGAATTGACAAGGAAAAACAGGATAATATAAGAGAAAGAAGGGAAAGACCTGAAAAACGGGAGGAGGGGGTGTTGTGATTTCCCTACTATGGATAAGATTAAAAATAATCTAGGCGTGCTGGGCACGGTGGCTCATGCCTCTAATCCCAGCACTTTGGGAGGCCAAGGTAGGCAGATCACCTGAGGTCAGGAGTTGGAGACCAGCCTGGCCAACATGGTGAAACCCCCTCTCTACTAAAAATACAGAATTAGCTGGGTGTGGTGGCACATGCCTGTAATCCCAGCTACTTGGGAGGCTGAGGCAGGAGAATAGCTTGAACCAGGAGGTAGAGGTTGCAGTGAGCTGAGATCACACCATTGCTCTCCAACCTGGGTAACACGAGTGAAACTCCATCTAAAAATAATAATCATCATTATCTAGGAGAAACTGCAGTCCTGAGAAGCAAGAGGTAACCTCTGGCATCCTGATTCTTGGGCTAAGAAACGTTGCCTCCTAATTTTTTGTTAGTCCTTTGGGTGTGATACTTAATCTTGTGGCTCTTTCTTTTTATATACCTTGCCTGCTTCAGATCCACAGAGAAGTAGCATTCAATAAAACCTCACAAGTCCTCTCCAAATGGGACCCTATTGTCCTAAAGAACCGACAGGCAGAGCAGCTGGTTTTTCCCCTGGAGAAGGAGGAGCCAATCATTGCTCCCATTGAACATGTGCTCAGTAGCTGGAAGGTGAGTACAACAAAATGAAACTGCACTTCACTGAAAGGTGAGATTTTGTAAGTTGGAGATTTCAGAGCCTGCAATTGATTTGTTTGGATATGTTAAGGTAAACCCCAGCTTAAAGTCATTTTAGCTTTGTGCTTAGAAAGGAGGAGTTGTCCATCATTATTGTCAGTCATGCAGTAACCAGTCACAATGGCCCTGTGATCACTTTTTTTTTTTTTTTTTTTTTTTTGAGACAGAGTCTTGCTCCATCGCCCAGGCTGGAGTGCAGTGGCAAGATCTCGGCTCACTGCAGCCTCCACCTCCTGGGTTCAAGCAATTCTGCCTCAGCCTGCCAAGTAGCTGGGATTACCAGCGTGTGCCAACACCCCGAGCTAATGTTTTTTGGATTTTTATAGTGACGGGGTTTCACCATGTTGGCCAGGCTGGTCTCAAACTCCTGACCTCAAGTGATCCACCTACCTCAATCTCCCAAAAGTTCTGGAATTACAGACATGAGCCAATGCACCTGACCTCTGAGGTCACTTGTCATTTGCTTGTAGTATACAGTACTTGGCTATTCCCATGTTTTTGTGTTAAACCATGTGATTGCCAGTATAGCAGGAACATAATAATGTTTTCTTTTACCCCAGTTTTTAAAAAGCATTTATAGCCACATTCTGATCCTAGAGAAATCAGGAACTCGATAGCATTAATGATACCTTAGTGAGGATATGTGAGCAACAGAACCCTAAGTTTGCTTGTACAGGAATACTGCATTAAAATATAATGTGTTGCTGGCAATGTCTAGAACTTCAGCAGGTAACTTACGACTCTGAGCTGCAGGGCAGGGGTCGATGTTTTAGAGCTGGGTTTCCCAAACACTGACCTCTGAAAAAGTTTCTGTTTGAACCAAAAGGATAGTTGTAAGTATGATTGTTTGGTGATTGTAATGTTGCCAGTTCTTTTTTGGTATGAGGTTATTCTTTCTACTTTAATGGTGTTAAAATATCTTTTCTTCTAAGAAATTATGGTAGTAAATGATGGGATTGGGAGTGGAATGGTAGTTATGCTCTTAGCAGAATTAGAAGTTGGTAATCTTATGTTGGTCCCCAGAGTCTCGATGTTTAGTCTGAATAACTGCTTTAGAACAGCTAGCCTACTTTTCCAATACGCCATGGGCATAGGGTCCATAATGGGCTGATTAGTCTTGAATAGATACCTTCTTTGTGCTTCTCTTCTTTACTTTCCAAAAACCCAAAAATGGTAGTTTCTTAGGTGTTGGGAATTTGAGCTAATTGAGCTAATTAAAGCTAATCAAAGTAAACACTGCTTGCCACAATAGCTAGAAATTGAGCGAGTAGTTGCTTATTATAGGGATAAGCTGTTTCTGATGTTTTTGCTGAAGTCACTACCATTCTTTTTCTAAGAGGCTTCCTTTTCTACATGAAAGAGAGATCAGGTTTAAAGTGTGGCTGCAGGATGAAGGGAGACTAGAAAAAAAAATCAGAGGTAATACAATTTGTAGGATTCAAAAATAAAAAAGCATAGAAGATATGTAGTGAAAAATTTGACTCCACCCATTTGTCCCATCTGATCATTTTTACCCCTATACTCACTCAGAAGTAACCACTTGCATAAGTTTGTTGTTGTTGAGTTTTCTTTCTTTCTTTCTTTCTTTCTTTCTTTCTTTCTTTCTTTCTTTTTTTTTTTTTTGAGACAGAGTCTTGCTCGGTCACCAGACTGGAGTGCAGTGGCGAGATCTCAGCTCACTACAACCTCCGCCTCCCAGGTTCAACTGATTCCCCTGCCTCAGCCTCCTTGAGCAGCTGGGATTACAGGTGTATGCCACCACGCCTGGCTAATTTTTTGTATTTTAGTGGAGACGGGGTTTCACCATGTTGGCCAGGATGGTCTCAATCTGACCTTATGATCCGCCCACCCCAGCCTCCCAAAGTTCTGGGATTACAGGTGTTAACTACCACGCCTGGCCTAGAGTTTTATTTCTATATTCATGTTTACCTCCTTTTTAAATCAAAAGAATGGTAGTATGCTACTACACACTGTACTGCACCTCGCTTTTTCCAAATGACAGTGTAATCTTGGAGACAGCAGGAAAATGCCAAGTGTATTATTAAAAAGGAGATGGGGCTGCGTGCAGTGGCTCACGCCTGTAATCCTAGCACTTTGGGAGGCCGAAGTGGATGGATCACTTGAGGTCAGAAGTTCGAGACCAGCCTGGCCACCGTGGCAAAACCCTGTCTTTACTAAAAATAAAAAAATTAGCCAGGCTCGGTGGCACGTGCCTGTAATCCCAGCTACTGGAAGGCTGAGGCAGAAGGATCGCTTGAACCCGTGAGGCAGACGTTAGTGAGCCAAGATCATACCACTGCACTCCAGCCTGGGCAGCAGAGCAAGACGCCGTCTCAAAAAATACATATCAGTAAATAAATAATTAAAACGAGATGATAGTGGAGGAAGTTACACTAAGAATAGCACAACTTCTTCAAGATAGAGTGAGGCTCAGATGCTGTACATTGACTATGCTGTGCCATTCATTCATTCTAAGACTGACTTTTTGAGAAATTATGCTACTGGGGCACAGAGGAATAAGGAAGTGCTTAGTTCACAAGGTGCTTTGTGGCTAGCAACTCCTAGGTCTCTCCTCACAACTTAGAGTGCAAAGTACCAATGACTAGTATGTGTCATATTAGGGTTTCTGGAGATTGAAAATCAAGGCTCAGGCGAGGCAAGTGGATCACCTGAGGTAAGGAGTTCAAGACCAGCCTGGCCAACATGGTGAAACTTCATCTGTACCAAAAATGCATAAATTAGCTGGGCGTGGTGGCACACGCCTGTAGTCTCAGCTACTCAGGAGGCTGAGGCAGGGGAATCACTTGAATCCAGGAGGCGGAGGTTGCAGTGAGCCAAGATTGTGCCACTGCACTCCAGCCTTGGGGGACAGAGTGAAACTCTGTCTCAAAAAAAAAAAAAAAAAAAATCAGAAGTCTTTACTATAGTTTTGGTCCAGCTTCCTAAAATTTTGTTTAGCTGCAAAGAACGAAATGAGATAATGTAAGAGAAAGCCTTGGTAAACTGCAAAGTGCTAGAAATGCTGTAAGGTAACTTCTTTCACCCCTCTCTCCTCACTATTCTTTGTCTACACTGGTATTTCCCAAGGCATTATCCTTGAAACCTTAGTCTCTCAGTATGCCCTCACAAGAGGAAGCACTGCTAGGAAATGCTGCATGCCCCTACTGGAGATTGGAGAGTCACAATATGCTTTATCATTTTAAAGGCTATGAAACAGGACAAACATATGTGGTAGCTCACGCCTGTAATCCAGCACTTTGGGAGGCCGAGGCAGACAGATTGCCTGAGTTCAGGAATTCGAGACCAGCCTGGCCAACATGGCGAAACCCCGTCTCTACTAAAAAACACAGAAATTAGCCAGACATGGTGGCTTATGCCTGTATTCCCTGTTACTTGGGAGCCTGAAGCATGAGAATCACTTGAACCCAGGAAGTGGAGGTTGCAGTGAGCCAAGATCACGCCACTGCACTCCAGCCTGGGCAACAGAGTAAGACACTGTCTTAAAAATAAAAATAAAGGCTATGAAAGAATGGTGAAGACACCTGTTGGATCTAATTTAACTTTATACAAGCTGACTTTATTAAAATTTCAATCAAATTTTCAGCTTTTAACGGGGGAAGCAAATCCTGTTATCTGACGAGGAGTGTGTTTGGGGCAGAGCTGGTCTGTCTCCACTGCTGCCACCTCTTTCTCACCTTCTTCCTCACTGCCCTACTAAAACTTCTCTCAAAAAGCATTAGTGAGGGGCCTCCAAACTGCCAAATCCCAGGTCTTCTTAGTGTTTAGTGTATTTGACACCTTTGGCACATTTCATTCTAAAAACCTCTCCCCTCTGACTTCTGTCATACTCTGGGTATCTTCTCTCTCTGGCTTTCCTTAGTCCTTTTTATTCTTGCTCTGTAAATTCCATAACTTGACCATCACTCTCAACCCCTTCTTTGAAGCTCCAGTCTCATATTCTATGTGACTGGCAGGGATCACCTGGGTCTCCCATATGCGCCGTAAACTTAGTCCAGTCCAAAGTAAGCTTCGCATTTCCTTTCCCCAGACTTCCAAAACCTATACCACCCCCTTCAGTCTGCAACTCAGTTAACAGCAGAGCTCCCTACCCCAGGCACTTAGGTTGGAAACCTCAGTCATTTGATTCCTACTTTTCCCCTTCACTCTCCCCTCTCCCCCAGCTTATAGGGGGCTAGGCCTGCAAATTCTGTCTCTGTAATAAACCTTAGGCCCCTATTTTCTCTTCAATTTCATTTTCACTGCCCTAATCGAGGCCCTCATCAAACCTTTCCTTTGGAACTTTACATATGTCCTCTACACAGTCACCAGGATTTTCTGGCTGCGATACGAAACTAATCGTTGATCTCCTGCTTAAAATCCTTCTAAGGCTGTTCACTTACAGAATAAAATAAAATTACCTAGCATTGTAGCTATGCTGGACAGCACGTTGTTCTGTTACATGCCATTCCTTTCCCTGTGTCTGTGTTTTTTGCTTATGCTCATCTGGATTTTTTTTTCCCACCTGACAGAATTGTACATAGGCCTAAAAGCCTAATTCAGAAAGTCACTTCCATGGCCAGACATGGTGGCTCACACCTGTAATCCCAACACTTTGGGAGGCTGAGGCAGGCGGATCACCTGAGGTCAAGAGTTCGAGACCAGCCTGGCCAACATTGTGGGAAGTCCCAGCTACTCAGGAGTCTGAGGCAGGAGAATTGCTCGAACCCTGGAGGCAGAGGTTGCAGTGAGCCAAAATTGCACCAGTGCACTCCAGCCTGGGCATCAGAGCAATACTCCGTCTCCAAAAAAAAAAAAAAAAAAGTCACTTCCTTCCCCAAGCCTAACCTACCTCCTAATAATATTTAATGGTGATTTCCTCTGTGATTACCCCTATAGAATAATATAGCAGTATGTTACTTAAGAGTAACATAAAGGGTATTTAACCCATTATGTTATGCTGTTTGTACTGTATGTGTCTCCGCTCTGAAAGGCTGTGAGCTCTATGAGGACAGGAACTATCTTAATTGTGTATTCCTAGCACCCCACACAAGCGCCTGGAATATAGCTATAATCAATAAAGATTTGTAAATTGAATTGAATTGTAGGGACATTACAACATTGTAGTATAAATCACTTTGTAGCCTGTGATTGATCACTACTGCAAATACTAAAAATGGAGAACACATATCTTTGCTATTCAATAGAATAGCTTTATGGTTAAATCAATAGCATCATGTAACATGTGATAATGTGCGTTTATGCATTTGTCCAAATATTTGTAAGTTTAAGACTGACCATGATGTATGTGGCTATTGAAGAAAAGCACACATAATATGCATGTGAGGTCTGAAACCGGCTCTGTTGCCTAGGGCTGTCCTTGTGCTTTGCCAGAATGTGGACCATGGCATGATTGGCCGGATTATTTAGCCATCCTCATGGTAGCATGTGGCATAACTGGTTTACAGTTCATTTGTTTCATATGTAAAGACTGTCTAGCATGCAAAATTAACTGGAAATTGAGGAATTAGAGGCAAAGTTAGAAAATTAGGAAAGGTTAGATTTTTTTCTATTTTTTTATTTTTTTCAATTTGAACCATCAGGAAACAGGCTAATTACATGAAGGTCTTTTTATTTTTTCACCATAATAAATAGAGACAGGGTTTCACCATGTTGCCCAGGCTGGTCTCGAACTGGTGGGCTCAAGTGATCCTCCTGTCTCGGCGTCCCGAAGTGCTGGGATTACAGGCCTGAGCTACTGTGCCTGGCCTGTATTTTTTTAAAGGCAATATCCTTTTGTGCTCAAGAAATTAAAACACACACCGCACCACAAACTACATTTGAAGACTGTGCCAAAAAATGCCATGTTTTTTCTCATTTTCTTTCATCAGTAATTAATGATACCAACAACACTTATATGCATGGTTTATAGCAGTTGGCTATGGTCCAAAAAAGTTGGGCTTCCCCTATGAGACATTTGCAGATCTATTTTCTAGGTACACCATCAGTGGCAAATACTGCTTATCTTAAGACAGGCATCCCCAAACTTTTTACAAAGGTGGCCAGTTCACTGTCCCTCAGACCGTTGGAGGGTCACCACATACTGTGCTCCTCTCATTGACCACCAATGAAGGAGGTGCCCCTTCCTGAAGTCTGGCGGGGGGCCGGATAAATGGCCTCAGGGGGCCGCATGCGACCCGCGGGCCGTAGTTTGGGGATGCCTGTCTTAAGATCTAACCTCACAGGGTGCAGTGGGTTCACGCCTGTAATCCCAGCACGTTGGGAGGCTAAGGCAGGAGGATTGCTTGAGGCCAGGAGTTTAAGACCAACCTGGGCAACATGGCAGGATCCTGTCTCTACAAAAAATTTAAAAAAAAAATAGCCAGGCATGGTGACTTCCAGTTGTGGTCCCAGCTGCTCTGGAGGCTGAGGCAGGAGGATTACTTGAGCCCCAGAGGTAGAGATTAGAGTGAGCTGAAATTGTGCCACTGTACTCCAGCCTGGGTGACCGACTAAGACCCTGTCTCAAAAATATAAATCTAACCTCCTCTTACCTCTAGAAATATTCTAAAAGAAGGCTTATGATACAAATTTGAGATTCACAACTATAAAGTAATAGTTATGTGCTTCAAATGATACATAACAATACAGGGACTCTAGAGCAACCTGCCTAGATTCTTAAGAGAATGGAAATCTTCAACATACATTGGTAACCTGAACACAGTGATCCCCTCAGCAGTACTAGAGAGTAGCCTGAGTGTCTCCCTGCTGAAGTTGTAGTTTGTTTTTTGTTTTTTGTTTTTTTGAGACAGAGTCTCACTCTGTCGCCCAGGCTAGAGTGCAGTGGCGCAATCTCAGCTCACCGCAAGCTCCACCTTCCGGGTTCAGGCAATTCTCCTGCCTCAGCCTCCCAAGTAGCTGAGACTACAGGCGTGTGCGACAACACCAGGCTAATTTTTTTTTGTATTTTTTAGTAGAGACGGGGTTTCACCATTTTAGCCAGGATGGTCTCAATCTCCTGACCTTGTGATCCACTCACCTTGACCTCCCAAAGTGCTGGGATTACAGGCGTGAGCCACCGCACCCGGCCGAAATTGTCTTATATAAGAATCAAATATGGCTGGATGCAGGGGCTCATACCTGTAATCCCAGCACTTTGGGAGGCCGAGGCGGGTGGATCGCCTGAGGTCAGGAGTTCGACACCAGCCTGACCAACATGGAAAAACCCCGTCTCTACTAAAAGTACAAAATTTGCCAGCAGTGGTGGCACATGCCTGTAATCCCAGCTACTCAGGAGGCTGAGGCAGGATAATTGCTTGAACCCGGGAGGCGGAGATTGTGGTGAGCCGAGATTGCACCATTGCACTCCAGCCTGGGCAAAAAGAGCAAAACTCTATCTCCAAAAATAAAGAAGAATCAAATAAGGCTTTATTTACGCTGCTGACAGGACGACTGGAACCCCCTTTTCTTGCTGTAACAGCCAATCCTGTCCACTTATGATTCCAGTTGTAGTGTCATAAGTTAGAGAGTCATAGGAATGTAAAGACAAAGAGCTATAAGAGCAAGGCTTAAGACTCAGAATGTTTTGTTACTTCTTTAAGGCAAGAACTCCCCTGGAGCAAGAAATTTTCAACCTCCTCCGTAAGAACAAGCAGCCAGTGACAGACCCTTTACTAACTCCCGTAGAAAAGGCCTCTCTCCAAGCCATGAGCCTGGAAGAGGTAAGTGTATCATACGCCCTTGAACGTACCCAGGCATGTCACACCTCTCCTAGCATTTGTCCTCTGGCCCAGGTCTCACTGTCAATGTCATTTGTTGTAGGCAAAGGTGCGCCGAGCAGAGCTTCAGAGGGCCCGGGCTCTGCAGTCCTACTATGAGGCCAAAGCTCGAAGAGAGAAGAAAATTAAAAGTAAAAAGTAAGGAGGCCCCTGTGAACTGGACTTGGGTTCCACAGAAGAAAGTCATGTGGCTCATCATGAATTCTTTGGAGAGAAACTTTGATGCGGCAACTAGAGTCACGTAGATGAGGTCCCAAACAGGAGTGACTAGCCTCGTTTTTCCCCCCAAAACAACCTCCTACAGTTTTGCCAAAAGGAGGAGTATTCAGTTACTTTCTCTCCCTTCCAAGGCATCAGAGTGGTTCTGCAGAATGAATTCCAGAGCTGTTGAGGCCAGTAAGGCTTCCTTCCTGCCTTTTTGCCTCTTTGAAACTGAAACTTGTTCAGCTCGGTGTGGTGCCTCACGCTTGTAATCCTAGCACTTTGGGAGGCTGAGGTGAATGGATCACTTGAGCTCAGGAGGTCAAGACCAGCCTGGGCAGCATGGCAAAACTGGCCAGGCATGGTGGCTCACGTGTGTAATCCCAACACTTTGGGAGGCCGAGATGGGTGGATCACTTGAGGTAAGGAATTCAAGACCAGCCTGGCCAACATGGCAAAACCCCGTCTCTACTAAAAATACAGAAATTAGCTGGGCATTGTGGCAGGTGCCTGTAATCCCAGCTACTTGGGAGGCTAAGGCAGGAGAATTGCTTGAACTCAGGAGGTGGAGGTTGCAGTGAGCTGAAATCACACCATTGCACTCCAGCCTGGGTGTCAAGAGTGAAGCTCCATCTCAAAAAAAAAAAAAGAAGAAGAAGAAGAAATTGCAAAACCCCATCCATCTCTACAAAAAATACAAAAATTAGCCAGGTGTGGTGATGTGTACCTGTAGTCCCAGCTAGTTGGGAAGCTGAGGCAGGAGGATCGCTTGAACCCAGGAGGTGGAGGTTGCAGTGAGCCAAGATCACGTCACTGCGCTCTGGCCTGGGTGACAGAGTGAGACACTGTCTAAACAGAAAAAAAATGAAACTTGTTCTACTCCTCCCTTGAGCTATAGAGGCAGACTCTTTGAGCCGCAGAGGTCTACCTGAGGACTGTGGGTACCAAGAGTCTTGCCAGTCCTCTCAGGTCCCAAACTGACTCCCTACAGCCAGCTAGCTCTGTGATGCCCATTCCAGCCCCCTGCTTTGGGAAACCCATCGGGTGATATGGGTACTTGTGCCTACGACATCACTGCTTCGGCTAAATTGCTAAACTCTTCCCTCCTACCCTCTTACCTTACAGGTATCACAAAGTCGTGAAGAAAGGAAAGGCCAAGAAAGCCCTAAAAGAGTTTGAGCAGCTGCGGAAGGTTAATCCAGCTGCAGCATTGGAAGAACTGGAAAAAATTGAAAAGGCCAGAATGATGGTGAGACTGCCTCTTGCCCCACCCCCACCCCTTTCAATCAGCTTTCCTTGGAAGGCAGTAAAGGTCGAAATCTCACTCTTCTTTCTTTCTAGGAAAGAATGAGCCTTAAGCACCAAAACAGTGGGAAATGGGCCAAATCAAAGGCAATTATGGCCAAATATGACCTGGAGGTAAGAGACCCTTGGGGTGAGAGCAGATCTGGAATTGGAGGATGCTAGCAGAAGCAGAGTTGGGAAAGAGCCATGAGGATGGATGGAAAACCAGGAATCTAAAAAAGGCATCAGAGAAATCTCTAAGGCAGAAAGGAAAATGACCAAGAACAAGGTGGAAAAGGAGAGATGAAAGGGAAACAGCATTGAAGGCAAGTCCAAAAGGGGAGAGGAGCTTTTTAAAATCTTATTTCACCTGTTGATTCCTTAAGGACAAAGATTTTGCCTTCCATTTTATACCATAGCTATTAACACAGCGTTGTATGTGCAGTTTGAACAGTGGGTACCAGTAAGAAATATCAAGTCAAATGGAGAGGAGGCAGCTTTATGAAATGGACCAGGAAAGGTGTTATTGTGGTCACTAATGACAAGGCTTTCATCCTGTGACTTTCCTCCAGGCTCGCCAAGCTATGCAGGAACAGTTGGCCAAGAACAAAGAACTGACACAGAAACTCAAGGTAGCCTCTGAGAGTGAGGAGGAGGAGGGAGGCGCAGAAGTGGAAGAACTCTTTGTCCCTGATGCAGTGAATGAAGTGCAGATGAATGTGGACGGACCAAATCCCTGGATGCTCAGGAGCTGCACCAGTGACACCAAAGAGGCTGCAACCGAGGAGGAGGACCCTGAGCAGCTGCCAGAGCCTGTGGCGCACGAAGTTTCTGAAAGTGAGGGAGAAGAAAGACCAGTGGCAGAAGAAGACATTTTGTTGAGAGAATTTGAGGAAAGGCGATCCCTTAGACAAAGATCTGAGCTCAACCAGGATGCTGAGCCAGCAGACAGTCAAGAAACAAAAGGTGAGCTGTGATCAAATGGAAAGGCGAACTTCCTAGTGCTATGGATGGACTATGGGAGAAAAAAACGTCCACCCACACACACACTGCATAGTGATTAGGCTCTGGGGACTTGCAAGAGTGCGTGCACTAGATCCCTCAGAAGAATTAGATTCATAACTATTTTTCTTCAAAGGCGTTTAATAAGCAGTCATCTGCATGGCCATGCAATGTGTTCAGGCAAGTTTTCTGTTCTTGGGGGCTTACAGCCTTTAGAAAGCCATAATAACTAAATCATCCTCGAAGGCAGGGTATGAGTTAGTGTTCCTGGTACCCACACACCAGGGAGAAGTATGTGTGGTAGAACGGCGAATCTGGACGTCTGTTCACACCTATACAAACAGGTAGGTAGATTTTGAGACACTGTGAAACATTCTAATTGCTGGAGTTTTTTGTCTGTTAAGTGGGAGTAGCGTTTTTAGCACTTCTTGATGCTAGTTTACGTGTGTCTATATGGGGTGAGACTTTACAGAATGAATGACTCCACGGGGCTACATGGCAAATTAGAATTGTGACTCCATGCTCAGGCTTTATTTGTACATTGTATTTTCTACGTGTTATCTTGAAGAGATCTTATTAACAGTGTTAGCACCCAGTGAGATTGGTCAGAGAGTTCCCATTCTGGCAATAAACCAGGACACTAAAAAGCCTGCCTAGGAAACTACCTACGTTGAGAAGTCATTTGGCTATCTGGACAAATTACCAGGTCTGGTTCAGTTCCACATAGGAATGCATTTAGATGATGGCAAAAATCTGGTTTTCAATGGCAAAAAATTATCTTTTCTACTTTTTTTTGTTTAAGAGACGGGGTTTTGCTCTGTCACCCAGGCTGGAGTACGGTGATGCAATCATACCTCACTGCAGCCTACGACCTCCCCGTTTCAAGCGATCCTCTTGGCTCAGCCTCCCAGCTAGCTGGGACTACATGCCTATGCCACCATGCTGAGCTACGTTTTCGTAGAGACTGAGGTTTTGCTCTGTTGCCCAGGCTGGTCTTGAACTCCTGGCCTCAAGCTGTCCTGTCACCTCAGCCTCCCAAAGTGTGAGGATTACAAGTGCGAGCCACTGCACGCAGCCTCCTTTTTTTTCTCCTTTTTTTTTTTCCTAGGGTTCCACATACAAAAATTTATTTTAAAAGAGCTATCATTTAGAAGGTATTGTAGGGACCTTTACTGAATGGTTTTGGCTAGATGTTTCTGGGATTAATAGTTGCAAGTAGTCGCTTCTGAGGGAATTTTGGGAAGCAGCACAGCCGGCTGAGATTGTGGGGGTGTCTGTATATGACCACAGGACCCTAGTGGCTTCCTCATGAGCCCCCTCAACAACTGGCCATCTAGCTAAATGTGCAGAGCACATTTCATACTGTGATATGAAAATATGAAAGATAGATTTGGGCCGGGCACGGTGGCTCACACCTATAATCCCAGCACTTTAGGAGGCCAAGGCAGGCAGATCACAAGATTAGGAGATCAAGACCATCCTGGCTAACATGGTGAAACCCCATCTCTACTGAAAATACAAAAAGCCGGGTATGGTGGCACGTACCTGTAGTACCAGCTATTTGGGAGGCTGAGATATGTGAATCACTTGAACCCAGGAGGCGGAGGTTGCAGTGAGCTGAGATCGAGCCACTGCACTCCAGCCTGGGCGACAGAGCAAGACTCTATCTCAAAAAAAAAAAAAAAAGAAAAGGTAGATTTGGATTTCCTTGGACGATAAGTAAATTGAATTTTCTCAAACCTTCCAAGATTGTCCTACAATACTGGAAAGTCACGGACTCCAATGAAAATGAGCAAGGAAACTTGATTCTTGAGAAATAAACATGCTTGTGTCCAAAGGCCAGATCTAAGGAGCTACAATGGCTTCATGGCAAAGCTAGAGAGCAGGATCAACTTGGGAATGGGGCAACCTGAATCAAGGCAAAGGACAGTTTAGAAGCATGACACCGCCGTGCTTCCCTCCAGACTCTTTTTTTTTTTTTTTTTTTTTTTTTGGAAACAGGTCTCTGTCAGCCAGGCTGGAGTACAGTGGTGTAGCCTCTGCTCACTGCAAGCTCTGCCTCCCAGATTCAAGCAGTCCTCCTGCCTCAACCCCCAAGTAGCTGGGATTACAGGCATGCGCCACCATGCCCAGCTAATTTTTGTATTTTTAGTAGAGACGGGATTTTGCCATGTTGGTCAGGCTGGTCTCAAACTCCTGGCCTCAAGTGATTCACCCACCTGGGCCTTCCACAGTGCTTTGATTACAGGTGTGAGCCACTGCACCCAGGCAGTCCCTTCAGACTCTTGAGACTAGTGTTACTTGCTTAGATGTTGACAGTAGAAGTGTGAGCTACATCCACTAGGTAAAGCAGCTGCTTTACCCCTTGGCTCAGCCACAGCAGATTATGAAATACTGCTTTAAGATATGAAGTAGAAATTCTTGAGTCAAGATAAAATCCTGGATAAGGTTTTTACAAGCAGTAAAGCATGAAATTACATTTGGAAGCCACCTATTAAAGTGGCTTCCTTTTTTAAATTTTGAAACTTAGGGCAGTCTTCCCAAGCAGGGTTTACTGCACAGGGAACTTAAGCCACAGTCCCAGTTATACAGTGAGTCATTGGCAAAACTGGGAATAGGAACTAGGATATCTTCTTTCCAACATGCTACTGGTTTGTTTTTTTTTTTTGTTTTGTTTTTCGTTTTTTTCTCTGTTTCAGACAGGACTTGCCCTGTGGCCCAGCCTAGTATCCAGTGACACCATCACAGCTCCCTACAGCCTTGACCTTCCGGCTCCAGTGATCCTCCCAGCTTAGCCTCCCAAGTAGCTGGGACTACAGATGCACACTGCCATGCCTGGCAATTTTTGGGGGGCAGGGTGGTGCTGGTAGAGATGAGTTGATGATTTCTTATGCGTTGCTCAGGCTGGTCTCGAACTCCTGGGCTCAAGCAATCCTCCCCACTCAGCTTCCCAGAGTGCCGGCATTACAGGTGTGACACACCGTATCCGACATCTCACATGCTACTTTTAATTACCAAACTCCATTGCCTGCTATAATTAGTGTACTCTCTAGGAGATCCACTACACAGAATCTTATTTTCCCCATTTGTCCTTGTTAGAATGCATTATGTGGTACCTAGCACTCACTGGGTGCTCAACAAATGCTTACTGACCAGGCAACATACAAACCTCCTTTTCTGACAGCTTTCATTCTTTTTCCCCCAGATTCTAGTAGCCAGGAGGTGCTGTCCGAATTGAGGGCACTGTCGCAGAAATTGAAGGAAGACCATCAATCCAGGAAGCAAAAAGCAAGTTCAGAGGCGACTGTTCCCCAGGTCCAGAGAGAGGAACCTGCCCCAGAAGAAGAGGAGCCCCTGTTGCTACAGAGGCCGGAAAGAGTACAGATGCTGGAAGAGCTAGAAAAAGAAGAATGTTTTCAAAATAAGGAGCTTTCCAGACCTGTGTTAGAAGGGCATTGGTCAGAGAAGACCCCAAATAATCACCCTGATGCCCCTAAGGAGAAGAAAAAGAAGGAGCAAATGATTGACCTACAGAACCTCCTAACCACACAGTCTCTCTCGGTGAAGTCTTTGGCAGTGCCCACAATAGAGATGCTGGTGAGCAGAGCCAGGGTTGTGGGCCATTGTGGGGGATCAGAGCTGGTTCAGAAAGTATCCTTGCACAAGGAGTAATGAAGCTTTGTTTTGCTAGGGGCACATTTCAGTAGTTGAGAAGTCCAGCGTAGTACAGGGTCAGGCTAGTGCCAGTGATGTTTTAATAGATGCAGATATGTGGGTGCTGCCAAGATCCCCATTTCCTAAATCCTGATCCACCAAAACTTCTCTGGGGTAACTCTAAAACTTCTCTCAGAGGAAAGAGGGAGTAACTCAGAGCTCTGACCAGATCCCAGGCAGGACAACTCGAAGGTGAGTCATTGAGCTGTTGCCGAAGTTGTACTCAGTGGGATCTCAAATGATCTAAGACTCCCCAGTTAATTTGAAACTGAAAGGGAGGCATCCTGGTACCTGTCTTTTCAGGGATATAAGCTAGAGGAAGCCCACAGTCTAGCCACTTAGAGCTCCTGCTGCTAACACAGGCCATTCCTTCCTCCACCCTGCAGCTTCCTTACTGAAAAGTTTAAAATTGTGTCATATGATAATGAGCTAGGGATATTTACCCTAGAGAGAAAAAAATTGGAGCATGATTGCCTACGATTGGTTTGCATCGCAAGCCCATCATTGTTCAGCACTTCCCCCTAGGGGGCGCTAAAATTCAAGCGTTCTAGCCATGAACCACCGCTCCTCGGCCAAGCTGTAGCTCTCGCTTGTTTCTTCCCAGGAAGATGAAGTGGAGAGAAACCAAAGGCAGATGATAAAGGAAGCTTTCGCTGGGGATGATGTCATCAGAGATTTCTTGAAAGAGAAGAGGGAAGCTGTGGAGGCCAGTAAGCCAAAGGACGTAGACCTGACACTACCTGGCTGGGGCGAGTGGGGTGGTGTGGGCCTAAAGCCCAGTGCCAAGAAAAGACGCCGGTAAGAACACGGAAGAAAGCCTGTCAAAAGGGCACCAGGTTCTCCCCCCTCGCCCTTCGGTGTCCTCCCTGCCCTTTTGACTGAGTCCTTAATGCTCCTAGTCAGATGTCCTGTGGTTTTGCCTTCCAGGTTTCTCATTAAAGCCCCTGAGGGTCCTCCAAGAAAAGATAAGAATTTGCCAAATGTGATTATCAATGAGAAGCGCAACATCCACGCAGCGGCTCATCAGGTGAGAGCTTAGAGCTCTTTAGCTGCCTGCTCGTTACTGCCTGGCTCTCTTGCTTGAAAAGATTATTCTAGTGATCATGGTCAAGAGGAACGTGTGATCTTGACCGCAAAATCAGCTCTCTTGTTTTCACTGAATGGCTATTAGATGTACCATTTCAGATAGACTATGCTGTTTTAATTACTGGCCAGTAAAAAAGTTTAGAGTCAAGGTAATACTCCAACAGAGGCTATGAGGTTTGAGCTGTATCTTTAAGAAAAATGAAGACAAACCGGTACTTGTTCCGGAGAATGAGAAGATTGTAAGTTGTGTCACATGATAATGAGCTAGGGATGTTTACAAGAGAAAAGAAAAGTTGAATGTGATTACAGTGTTCGAGTATATTGAAGGTTATTGTATGAAGTCACATAAAGTAGAAGTTAAAGGAGATAAAGAATTCAAGGCTGCTCTGGGAGCATGAGTATGAGTAAAGGGGACTCAAGAATGAGATTGGACTAGATGATCTTTATGTTCCTTTCAATTCTGAGATCTGTCCCAAGCCAGCATAATATTGAAATGAGTTACGTTTTTCCCCCTGAAGAAATAAAGAACTAATGGGTACAGAACAGAGGTAAGAAGATGTACATTTCAATAACATTCTATTCGATCTTATTTTCTGAACCAATCACTGCAAAAACTGGATTGTAACCACTGCAGTCCCAATTAAGGATCTATAACTAGAAAATAGGCAGTTACGGGATAAGGGAAGGTGGCAAGGGTGCTTCAGTGGGCCAGGATTACAGGTGATGGGCAGAGTATGGCGCTCAATAAAGACCACCCTTTCCTTCCAGGGGTCTTACCTGTTTGTTTTTTAATACAGTCATGGCAAACTGACAAATAGTTTTCCAGGAATCTCCCCCAGTTTTCGTCTTTTTAATAAGTGGCTGCAGGTTCCAACATGCAGTAGACTAAAGTGCTTCAAGGTGCCTAGGGGGATCTTTTGAGACTAAATACTTGGTCCAGGTGTTCTCTTTCTGTTGCCCTGGTTGACAAGCACAGATGTAGCCATCAACCCAAATAACACATTCCCTTAACTTAAAGAAAATCTGTTTCCTTCGCTACTACCAGGACCATGTAAGTACAAGTAAGAGAGTACTTAGTTCTCTTGAGTATTCCACTGAATATTTCCAAAGGCTACTGATGTGGGTTTTTTCATTTGTTTTTTCAGACAGAGTCTCACTGCAACCTCTGCCACCCAGGTTCAAGCAATTCTCATGCCTCAGCCACCTGAGTAGCTGGGATTACAGGCATGCACCACCACACCCGGCTAATTTTTGTATTGTTAGTAGAGACGGGGTTTTCACCATGTTGGCCAGGCTGGTCTTGAACTCCTGACCTCAAGTGATCCGCCTGCCTTGGCCTCCCAAGGTACTGGGATTACAGGTGTGAGCCGCCACGCCCTGCCAGAGACTACTGATTTTTACATCCCCATTTTCTGCTTATGTGTTTTTCCTCCTTTCACCATTGGGGAAGTGTTGAAAGATTTTTTTTTTTTTTTTTTTTAGATGGAGTCTGGCTCTATCAGCAGGCTGGAATGTAGTGGCACGATCTCAGCTCACTGCAGCCTCTACCTCCCAGGTTCAAGCAAGTCTCCTGCCTCAGCCTTCCGAGAAGCTGGCAGGCACCTACCACCACGTCCAGCTAAATTTTTGTATTTTTAGTAGAGACTGGGTTTCACCATGTTGGCCAGGATGGTCTCCATCTTGACCTCGTGATCTGCCTGCCTCGGACTCCCAAAGTGCTGGGATTATAGGCACGAGCCGCCACACCTGCCTGAAAGATTATTTAAATATCTGAAGGTAGTAATGTGGTGGAGGAGTGCCAGGCAAGGAAACAGGAGCTGTGGGTTCTGTTCACAAATGCTGCTCCTCATTTACTTATGTCCATCACTTCCCCGCTCTAAGCCTAATCTTCAGGCCAAGGGAGATGACCATTGCCAATATCTAGGGCTTTCCAGCTCTACACTTCTGTGATGCCAAAAGAAGACGAAGCTAAGTGTAACAGCCTGGTAGAGTTCAGGATTCCGGTTCCTTAAAACATCAATCCTAAGAGAGGGAAGGAGGAGACTGAGAGCATAAAGAGGGTAGAAAAGACAGGAAATCCACAGGGATACACGAAGGTGTAGGTTCTTGCAGTCACAGTGTTATATAGGAAAACTCACTGTGGGACAACAGCCCTGGAGCTCCTACAGCTAGACAGGGACAGTGGTGTCGCTTGTAATTCCAGCTACTTGGGAGGTGGAGGCTGCAGTGAGTGGAGATCACCCCACTGCACTCCAGCCTGGGCAACAGAGTGAGACTCTGTCTCAGAAAAAAAAAAACCAAAAAGACAGGGGCAGTGTCGGGGTGGTTTTTCAGACCCTGAATTGCTGAATAGGGCATCCAGAGCCAACTTAGTTCCCCCCCACTCCCAGTGTCATCAAGCAGATTGGACTCCTAAGGGCAGATGGGAGCCCTGGGATGCCTTGATCTCTCAGTCTCTTCACTTGCAGTCATCGTGGGGAACCGTGGCCTGTACCAAAACAGTACCTGATGAGAGCTGCCATTCCAGTATACAACTGCACCCCAGGCCTGCCTCATACCAAATCATTCTCCTTCCTTCCCAGGTACGAGTGCTTCCATATCCATTTACCCACCATCGGCAATTTGAAAGGACCATCCAGACCCCTATAGGATCCACGTGGAACACCCAGAGAGCTTTCCAAAAGCTGACTACTCCTAAGGTCATCACCAAGCCAGGCCATATCATTAAGCCCATAAAAGCAGAGGATGTGGGCTACCGGTCTTCCTCAAGGTCGGACCTCTCTGTCATACAGAGGAATCCAAAACGGGTCACCACGCGTCACAAAAAACAGCTGAAGAAAAACTCTGTAGATTGAGTTGCTGGAGGAGTGACAGCCAGGAGCCCTGACTCCACTCACTTTGGTCCAGTTTTACTCTGCTACAAGGTGGGTTCCAAAACTGGCTCAGCACCTTGCAAGTAGTTGAGCCACATTTTAAAAATAAAGGCTTTTTTAATCTGTTTATCTGGAGTATATGTTGTGTTGTCCCCCAGTGAAATCATTTGGTCAAGCCGGACACCTATGGACGCTCCAATATTGCATTTCTCGAGTTGCACTTGTCAGGGGCACCTCTTTTTCTTACCAAAGATTATGTCGTTGGTCCTAAATCGAAATGGAGAAAATTCACTGTAGTCTGTGATCTTAAATACATCACATCAGATATGATCCACCATTAATTACTGCCAACTTGAAGAGACAGGGTTAATTATGATGAAATATTCTATATTTTGACCTCTGAGCCTGGGAAGAAGACATACAAACTCTGCAATTGGATTCTGTCCTAGACTGATCCTAAGACCAGCATGGTGCTGAAGCTGGGTTCTTTCCCCACAAGTCTAGCAACTGACATTTTTTTCATATGTGTGAGCTTTCCCAGCTTGTACAGGCTGCTGTCTACAATATCATGTATATAACCTTCTTTTCTCAGAAGACCAGGAGGTTTTACCCTTATTTTGTAGATAAAGGTAGATGTGATTTCAGAAGTAAACCTCTATTGTTTTTCCTTCCTAACTCAGGGCCCGCTCCTCACCATTGATTGAAAGTATAGTTTGTTCAAGCATTGCTTTGCTGTATGACAGTTCACATGGGCTTCTCAGCTCTGAGGAACTTGGTCTGCCTTTGGATGATAAGAAATATATGGAAAGATTCCCTGCAGCCGAGCTTCCTAACAAGGAATTTGGGAAACACCTCTGATCTCAAAATGACACCACGACTGCACCTTGCTTCCTGCCTTGGAGGTTCAGTCCCATCCCCAACATTTTTAAACCAAAGTGGGTTCACTTTTGTGTCACAGGCCCCTCTAAAAATATGTTGAAATTTATGAACCGTCTCCAGAAACACGTGCACACACACGCTTGCATGACATTTTACATACAGTTTCAGGGGCTTTGGAGACATTTGGAATCCCTGGGTCAAAAGCTATACCACTACAAGTTTTCTTTTGCAGTCCCCCTCCCCTGGCCCCGGACAGTTACTGACTTCTCTTCTGAGCACACCACTCTCCAAATCAGTTCCAAAATGTTTAGACCGCAAAGGTAGCTTAGTCCCAGTACCTTTATACAAGAAACTGTTCAGAACAGTGATGTATCTGGTGTTACAACATTAAACTGGTGACTGAGTAGGGGACTAGAACCCTAGACTAACAGAAGCGAAAAGCCAAAGATAAATTTCTATGAATTTCTCAGCGGTGCCCTGTGGCCCCTACCATTGCTCATCCTCTTATGAAACAACCTCGGACTGGGAAGGGAAGGGAAATGTGTATGTTGAGCAGTGTTCAGTGCCCAAAGGGCATGCTTAAGTTATCCATCGGCTTGAGATTATCCACGGTCCACTCGCTGGTTGACACTTAAATCAGCAGCCAGTGGTAAGGGATGCGGCACCCTGCCCACTTCTGCCTCCGTTTAAGGGACCACAACATTATTTTGCACTCTTTTGAGCACAAAGCTGCTACCTCCGTCCCACCCACCCCCCAAATTGAAGCGCCCAATCAAGTGTCCCCGGTAAATGGCCAATCCCCGTCTACTTTCCCGGGACCCTCTTGAGCTCCGTTTGCTCCCCACTGTCCAGGAGTGATGCAAGTGACTCCATCCTTCAAAGGAGAGGCAGGTGCCGGAACGTGCTATAAACGACGCCCACTGCCAGCCTTCCAAGCCCCCAAACGGATTCGATTGTTGTTTCGTGGGGCTTTTTTTTCTTTTCTTCCTCCGAACCTCCGAAGTGTTCTCCCTTCCCATTGGCCGAAGCTGCCCCTTGACGCCACCCTGGCCTTGCTCGCTGATTGGTCCGTTCTGGATGTGCCCAAGCCTTTTTCCCAGGGTGTGGCGCCCCCCCCGCCCCCAACAGGGTTCTGACCCCTGGCTCCTCCCTTCCCCCCAAGCCCCCCTCTCTGTTCCGAATGGTACCGCCCTGGCTCGGCTCCCCCACGGCCCAGGCCGCTGCCCTTAGGGCCCCCGGACGGGGCGGGGCACGCTGGGGACGGGCAGAGGGCGGTGGTGGCGCCTTCCTGCCGAGCCCGAGGCCGCCCCCGCCACCCTTCTCTAGCCCTTGTAGGTCCCACTTTCCCCTGGGCACTTCTCGTCCTGCCTCGGTAGCCCCGTCCCGTCTGTGCAGCCCCCACCGTGGTCCTCGGGTCATCGCGAACAGCGGCGTTAAATCCCTGCCCTCAGCGCTGCACACACGCCCATCCGCCTCCACCCTTGGGTCTCCACAGCACCCCCTTTCCCCGTTTCGGCTCCCCCTTCCCCTCCCGAGCCCGCCGAAGCCCTGAACCCCTTTCCTCGCGGACTGTCCATCCCCAGAATCCCCGTCCCTGCATGTGTCCAGTCCTCCAAGCGACCTCCCCTTCGCGGCCTCCCTTCCCCTTCGTGACCAGCGTGGTGGAGCACTCCCGCCCCCCCTTTCTCCGTACCCCTGCGCTCCCTTATGTTGTCCCATCTTGTCCCTCTCTAAGTCCCTCCCACACCGTGCCCCACCCCGCGGCGCGCGCACACACACACACACACACACACACACACGCACGCACCCCTCCCGCGAGGCGTCCCCCGGCGCCCCTCCCCAACCCCCGCTCGTCTATGCCCCTCCTACCCACCCCGTCCTTTTGTCTCCTCTTTGGTCTCTAAGTCCCCCGCCCCTCCCTCGCTCCCGCCCTCGCTCCCCCGAGCACGCTCTTATCTTCCCCAGGTCCCGGCGCCCCGCCCCGCGGCCGCGCCCCGCGGCCCCCTCCCTTCCGCGGCCCCGTCTCCGCCCTCGGCGCTCCGCCCTCCCCCCCGCGGCTCCGGCCCGCCAGCCCGGCTGGCCTCCGGTTCCCGGCTCGCTCCTCCCGCGGCCGCCGCCGCCGCTCCCCGACCCACCCTTCCCGGGCCGGCAGCTCGCGCTCCCGCGCGCTCTCCCTACACACGCACTCCCGCCGCCGCGCTCCGCTCGCTCGCTCGCCCAGGCCCTGCCTCGGCCCGGCCCGGCCCGGCGCAGCGCGCACCCCGCAGCCCGCCCTCGGGGAGCCTCGGCGCCCCGTGGCCGCCGGCACCTCGCGGACGGTCGGGCGTGCGGCCCGGGAGCGCGAACCCGGGCCGGGCTGGGTCTCCCCAGCTCAGCCGGGCCCTCGGAAGCCTCCCGGGGCGTAGGCGCCCGTCGGAAATGTTTAGGGGACAGACCGGCCGAGGTTCCTCCAGCAGCGCAGGCCAGGCCGGTGCGCCCCGGGGAGTCGCCGCGACCTTTCCTCCGGGGATGACTTGACCCAGAGTCTCCTCCCGGCTCCCGCCCCAAACCTGTGCCACCGACGCGCGCGACGCGCAGCTGAGACTCGTGGCTGGCGGGAGGAGGGCGGGGGACTGTCCAGAAAATGCCCTAGCCGTGAGGGACCCTAACTGCCGACCGTCAGGCCCGGAGAGGCGAAATCTAGTGATAAACGTCCTGGCCACCCAGGGAGAGAGGGTGAGCCCACGCCAAGCGCCACTGACCCCCGCCTCTCCGCCCGGGGTTCTCCCCACCACACATCGCAGAGCCTTTTATATAGACCCCGCCTGACCCAGAGTGAGGGATGTGGCTCAAAGTCGACAGAAAATCCAGCCACCCAGCCACATGCCAATAGACACTTTTTAAAAGTCTTTTTGGGCCGGGCGCGGTGGCTCACTCCCGCAATCCCAGCACTATGGGAGGCCGAGGTGTGCGGATCACCTGAGGTCAGGAGTTCGAGACCACCCTGACCAACATGGCGAAACCCCAGCTCTACTAAAAATACAAAAATTAGCCGGGAGTGGTGGCGAGCGCCAGCGGCCCCAGCTATTCCGGAGGCCGAGACAGGAGAAACGCTTGAACCCAGGAGGCGGAGGTTGCAGTGAGCTGAGAACACGCCATTGCACTCCATCCTGGGTGGCAGAATGAGACTCTGTCTCAAAAAAAAAAAAAAAAAAAAAAAAAGGAATAAGAAGTCCGTTCCATTATGCCCAAGTTGACTGTGTTTCCTCGCCCAAATCTCTTCTCCCAAGCCCTCACTCAGTCTTAACCTATTTACCCACCAGACTGGAAGCTCTTTGAAGGCGGCCCTGTTTGTCGCAGTGGCTCACTCAATGGATCCCTTGTGACTGGCAGACAAGTGGATGTATTTGTTGACTGCTCGCCTTTGGGATCTGTGTCATTATTGTGTGACTTAAGGTTGTAAACTCGGGAGGGCCAGAACCGGGTGGAGATTACTAGCTCGTGCCAGGCACAGCATGATGCCCAGAGGGATGGGCCATCAATGCTTTTTGAGACTGATGTAACTAATTATGCAGGAGGCAGATGCCTACCTCTTGATCCCCAGAACTGCCAGTTCCAGGGCTAAGTCTGAGTGAGGAAGAAGCTAAGGCGCTGTCTTAGCTCATCCCCAGTGGGATGCCGACTCGCTGGGACTAGATATGGCTGCAGTCACCATCCAAACACACTGGGTAACCTGACTGTCTACTTACTTACTGGGAATGGTTTGCAGGGAGCCAGAAACTCGCCTTTAACTCCAGTTTGCAACTGGAGCTGGGAGGCAGGAAGTAGCCAGGCTTTTCTGAGTGTGAAGCAAACTGTCCCATATAAAGATCAAACCTGCACTTCATCCATTTGCCCCAAGGTCGACCCGAAGCCTGATCTGCCAGAAGAAGGCTGCAAACAAACTGGACAAGAAGTCAACAGCAGTTACCCCAGGGGAGGGGGAGAGTGGAAGCACTCCTTCCTCCCATTTAGGATGCAAGATTCACCCTGTCCTTTGCAGCAGCTCATTTGTAACCTGGGTCGCTTTAGAATTGGTCTAGCTCCCTGCCCACCTCACACCTCCACCCCCAGCCAGACGGGTCCCCTCTGTCCTTCCTCAGCCCTACACTGTCTTTGCCCAAGTCAGCCTGCTCTAAATGGACATGGTCAGTGATCCCAGCAGAAACTGAAGCAGTAACAATCGGACAGTGTCAAGAGACTCCGGCAGAGATGCCTCGGAGCGCC